CAGGTGGCCCTACAGCTCAGCCTCTCTTAAAGGCTTCAGACAGGGAAAGCATGAACAGAAGATGTTTCAATCTTATCAGTGTTTTGCCCTATTTACCTTTAGATTTTCCCAACACACTTAACCTACAGCATCGATTGGCGTAGTAGTACTGGCCTCGCTGAACCAATGATGCTTTCCGACTATGACAAGTTTGAGGCTGCACACTCACGTGTGAAAATGTGGTCATTTGTAGGGAGGATCGTTTAACCCCGTTTCTTATTCAAGTAGGAAACAGGTTCGGAACTATTGCCCATAGGTAAATACAGTTCTTTATTGTAGGAAATATTTGTTAAGTAGGGATTTGGGATTTCCTTTGTATATTTGAAAGTCTGAAAGGTGTTGAAATATACTGTGATCAATTCGTTTATATGATAAGCATGATAGCCTAATGGTGTGTGTGTGTGTGTGTGTGTGTGTGTGTGTGTGTGTGTGTGTGTTTTGGGCAAATCTTTTTAGTTATTGGGTAGCTGGATAATGCATCCGTGTAGGGAAGGCAGATGGCATGGTGTCCAGTGACGTGACACTAATGTACTCGGGATAGAGCATCATTCTTTTCTTTACTCTGATTACCTCACATCATCGACACCACACCATACTGGTTTTATGGGATCCAAGCTCATGGGTGGTGCACCCACACAACTGAGAACCACCTATTGGGTATGGAATCAGAATGGGAAATTGATGAACTTGACTTCACCCTTTGCAGTGGAAGTTATCAAACACTCTCCGAAGAGGAACTGCGATCCTTCTATGCACAATTAATATCACCAACGATGATCTCTTCAATTGGCAATAGGAAAGGAAAACATATATTGGATTACAGCTAGAATATAAAATTCCATTCACAATTGCAATAGGATCAGTTTTGAAAACCCAGTGTACGTGTTGAGTGAGAGAAGGACTAATTATTTGGCATTTTAGTTGACTTTGAGTCAACAAAACCATTTAGCCAATGGGTTCGGATGTTTTCAAATGTTTTGATTTCCCTCAAAAGGGTAACATATTCAAAAGCCATTGTTACTATTAGGATTCTAAGCACGCTTGGTGAAAACATCAAAAGTCATTGTTAAACAAGTTTCTTCAGTTTTAGGTGTAAATTGCTAAATGATTTTTTAAAAGCATTCTTAGAAATCCTAATTATCTGTGTACCTGCTTTGGTGAAAAATACTTCACTGTGACATATTTACTTTATAGCCTCATTCAAAATGACACACTTGTATAAATTGGTACTTAACCAATAATTGAAGCCATTATTCACAGTTGAATAGGCATGGTATATAATTATTATTCTTTTAAAGGCAACTCCATGGTTAAAGCAAATCTGTTCTTTTAATGCTTTTTAATATTGCAAATTTAAAAAGGAAACCAAATAAAACCTTTTTAATTAATGCTAACTCGATCAAAACTCAACCTGAAATTAAGTATATTTCATTGAGAAGCATATTAAAATTTTGTTTTATAGCAAATAGATTTTCTTTCTTTAGGCAAGCAAGAACATAGCTCTTCTAACTTCACCATCGAACACTGTGAAGTGTTCTGTGTATCAGATGTCTAGGCCATAACCTGCAGACTACATGTGTATAGAAAGCACTTCAAATATTATGTCAACTGAATCTAATCTTCCTCAAGCATGGGGAAGAGCAGCCGAGCTGTAGTTAGCCACCACAACAAAGCAAATAGAATAAGAAAGGTTCGCTAAAAAATAACTGACTAGCCATTAAACGTCACATAGAAAAGTTTACTTCTTTTCTTTGCTCCATTATAGGACTTGCGGAATTGACTCAGATGCCAGGGCTTTAAGAAGCTCGTTGATATCAGTCATATAATCTCAGCACTGAGCCCAAGATTTACTGCTGCTTTATGGAGCAGAGAGTCAATGTATGCGATATGCTATTTCTTTGGAAGGCACTAGCCAGTTCCTTCTTGTGTTATACAAATGGAGCTCACAAATATGCGTACATATGAGGTTTCGGAACCTCACTTTGAATGGTATTTGGGGCTGGGTTTTCCTTTGTTGTGGAGGTGGTTCTGTATATTATGGATGGATAGCAGCCTCTCCAGCATCTACCCACTATATGCCAAGAGCAGCCCTCCTTTAATTGTGAAAGCCGAAAATGTCCCTAACTGTTGCTACGTGTTCTCTCCAGACCTTGCAAAAATGACCACAGTTGAGAATTACTGATATCTATGCATACATAAGCACAAACCATTTTTTGTTTCAATAAATTTAAAATATGATCTATGATTTCATTTGTGGGACCTTTACATTGTATGAATTCCATATCTCATTTTTAAGGTGTGGTCTTGATAGATATGAATTAATGCACATACTTGAACAGAACAACTATTTTTAAAACCATTGCCCCTTGAGAGAACAAGCTTTCTCAAAACTTTTGGGTTCACTATGGAAGAAAATATTTTGAAACAGATTTTGGTAGCAATTCTATCATAGCACTTGGTATGATTGGACTATGGAATGGTATGATGCCTGGATTAGCTCCTAATAAAATGGTTTGGGGGAAAAAACCAAACTTTTGGAATGCTTCCATTTTGATTCATAATCTCAAATTAACATTTTTCTAAATACTTTTTGATTTGGGGTTTTGCCCTTCCATGATTCTTGCAATCAGGTTTTGAAGCTATATTCTATGTCTTCTTCCAAAGACCTTGTAGGCCAAGAGCTGTGAACAACACCAGTAGGATTTCAGCTCTCTTCAATCAGAGTCTAACTCAGACATGTTGATAAATGTTAACTGGTTTCAATTCATTAACGTATTAATTCACAAAGAATATCTGAGAACCTGTGGCTGTCAATCCCGACTTATAATAAGAACGAAGGGTATATAGGTGTAATCCTTGCCCTCTTCGATGGCGTGTCCTTGAACAAAAAGCAACTAAAGGATAATAAGGGAGAGGAAGGGATTCGGTGCTAAAATAGATTCAAGGAGCAATGTGGCTTCCAGCCCAGCATAGCTGTATCGCCTTCTCTTCTCACTGCAGAATTAGTGAGTGATCACCCCCAAATGTTTCCGAAGTAAAAGTCACAGCCACTTTCCCCTGTCGAGCGGCAATGTATCAAAGTAACAGAACTAAGTAGGTCTGGTGGTGTAGTGGTTAGATACTGAGCTGCTCACCACAAGGTCTGCTCTGAACTAGCAACCACTCCCGTGGAGAAAGATGCGGTTACTGTACCTGCTCCTGTAAAGATTTACTTCATCAGAGACCTCGGGTCTCTGGATGGTCGTGACGAGTCAGAACTAACGCGGTGGCCGTGAGTGAGTGAGTTGAGAATTAATAAGTATTTATTTATAAAGATGGAAGGTCTTTCCTGGTTTTTTCTTTGTTTTGATTCCCGTAACAATCTTCTGTAATCTCTCTACCTGCCCACTCACACCCCCATCATTAATAAATAGATAAATCTCACTAACATTAGCAGATGACAAAGGGTGACATAATGGGCTGAGTATAAGTAACTAGGAATCCCTTCAAGAGTCCTCTCCACGTGGTATGATGTCTCTGTACAGGCACCCTACGACAGGGGATGCTGCCCGGTCATATTGTAGGACACTGCATCTCGATAGTTATTTCTCAAGTGAAAGCCTCTGTGTTATCAGTATTGTGATGCAACTTTTGCTAAAAGAAAATAATGTATGCTCACCAGATTTCTTGTTAGCTCTTCATATTGATGACACTCTTATTTTCATGTGCTGAAAGTACAGACACAAAGCCCACCCACTGCCGTTGATTGGCTTCCCACAGATTGTGACGTTATGTTGTAAATCGTCCTGCCATCCGATCATCTCATTTCTCTCCTGCGGTTCGAGTACTGCGTTTGAGCTACAGGATTTGTGGTTAGCAGTCCAGTGCTTACAAAAGTGATTTGGTGTACACAAATCTAACCAGAGGTAGAAAATAAACTGGTGAGGGAAAAAAATGTTTTTAACCCACATCTTTTTAAGTCATAAACCAAATGGTTACTCTAAGAATGTCCTGCTGGTTTGCATAAAGTATTATTAAACAATAACATTTTATGGGCCAAGAACATTTTGACCTAAGGTATCTAGATACACAAAAAATAAAATGAAGGTGTTATATATTTTTTCCTACCATGTTATCTAAATAATTTTCTTAACCATTTACTTTGTATTTTCATAATATCACCTACTAGACCGGTTAAAACTCCATTCTTTTGCCATCTGAAATCAGAAAGTGCCAACAGGGAGGGCTGAGTGGCACCTACTCCTTTGATGGACAGATTTGGTCAAAGCTTTAGATTTTTATAATATCTTGAAAAATTAATCACCCTGTGTCAAGATGTTTCAGGAAACATTTGCTTGTGAGTAATTAATTCGGATGCTGAATCCTTCCATCTTCATGCATTTGCCCTTGTTATATTTCTGAAAAAGATTTACTTATGTGGGGCAAAAATGTCAATGAGCCAAACACTGTTTAGGAAAAACATTATTTTTTCCGGTAATAGTTCATTTTCACTGGATGTTAAAATGTCCTATTATAGCCTAACATTTAGCCTTTATCGCCTTTAAAAGAATTAAATAACTTCAAAGATCATGTCCAACCTTAGCTTTATAATCTTAATTTTAAAGCAAAACCAAAAAAACTGGAAAAAAATCCCAACAAGCTTGTTTCACTGTCAAAGGTAGCCAAATTGAGGGAGAAATTTGGGGAAGATGAGGAAGTGCAGGGAGGTCACCTGGCTCAGTGCTTTCCTAGTTAAGTGATACCTTGTACAGGAACTGAACATTTCAAATGTCTATGACTTCTTGTAGCCACAGTTATAGTAAATCTGAAAGCATCTTTGAGAAGTCTTTCGTGGGATAGGATGAAAATCTGACATTGTTATTTTTAAAAATGTAAACAGCGTTGTTTTGGTTTAGCTGTTACAGTTTTTGTTCCGCTCTGTGGGTGCACGTTTTCCAATGGACTTTGTGTGTGCTTCCTAGGGTGCTGTGATTACACCAACAATGGACCATCCTATGTCGATGCAGCCAGCGAACATGATGGGCCCCCTGACACAACAGATGAATCACCTTTCGTTGGGTACCACAGGAACAGTGAGTTTGCCAGTTTGTTTCGTTTTCCTGGACTTCCTTATGAGAAGCAGTGTCCTCTGTTTTCACTGGCATGGCTAGTGACGCAAGGTCCATACCTTTCCGCCTTGACTAACACACCATGCACCTCCCAACGTGAACACGGCACACTCTGCATGCAGGTTCATTGCCAAGGCACGTTTTCCCACTGTGACAAGGCAGAGGGTTCTGCGGTGCTGCATTTAAATGTCATGGACTTCTTGTTTCTATCACCCACTGTACCCGATAAATGGCTGCTTTGGGAAGGCTATCTTTTTGCATGCACTTGCAAATCTTGGTCCTGTGACCTAATATACTTGAACCTGGTTTTCTTTGCCCAGCTGCTAACCACTTGAGTTGATAGATCATTCCCAGTCTCTTCACAAATAATGATCAGCCTTGGCTATAACTGAAGTGCAGAGGTTTTTATTTACTTTCAATGCTTAAATCAATAAAAAGTCATTGAGAACCTGACATATTCAAGTACTTTGAATCTGCCTTTGGATGGATATCCATACATAGATTATATCAAAAATAAGGAAGAGAATATAATGTATTTGATCTTTTTCTTGTAGTTGGGATATTTTAGACTAATCATACTATTCTTTAGGGAACAAAAGTATGTTGAAATATGCATATTTCAGTCTTTTTAAAGAGGCATTGGCAACCGTGAGTAAAACTCTTGTGTTTTAAATCATAACAAAAGCTATTCAAAAAGAATATTTCAAGTGCTCAAGAGGACAAAGGTCTAATATAACCTAGCATACTGTAAATGCATTATTATAGAGACTTATGTAAACCATTAATAGCAAGTGCTGACATGCCCCAAGAACAGTTTCATTTTTTACAGATGTTAGTGCAGATAACCTTGTCAGTTGTAAAGATGCTGAAAGGGAGGAAGAGGATGCTTTCCTCTGGCTGATCAAGCTTAAATATTGTGGAAAGAGCATCAGACAAGGAATCAGGAAGCCTGGATTTGAATTTTGATTGAGCTCTCTGGTTTCTATTTGCCCCCGTGAAAATAAATGGATATCTTTGAGTCTCAATCCCCCTCTTTCTCCTTGTAGTATTGAAATTCACACTATTCGAGGCCACCTTCACTCCGATGACTCGGTATCTTGACGTTTATAGATGCTCTGGTCACGACCCAGATGTCTGGCGTTGTTCTTCAGGGTTACGCTGACAACATCTCCAAATACTTCCACTGCTATCTATGGGATATTTTCCTTTCCAGCAGTGCCTGGCTCGCCACATCGATGTGGTTGGCGTGTAGGCTTCTCAGAATATAAGAAATTGCTGACAGGCCTACTGATGCCTCACCAATCTTCTCTAAATAGGAAGAAGGTCCATAAACCTAATGAAAAGTGTCATACTTTCTCAATAAAGAAATTTCATTTTATTAACAGAAGCAAAGGACCTATCTCTACGGCTTCAGTTGCTGAACTTGTAAAAGCAGTTGGTGATAACTTATCTGCCCCAAGGCTTGGGATGAATCAAATGCTTTCTTAGGTCTCTGACCTATGCATTTCAAAGTCGCACCTAAGATTCCCTTTAACTGTACACCATAGCGTAGCTGCTTTTATAGAGGAGGAGCTAGAATTCTAAGATGAGATATCTTTCCCGCTTTAACAAGGTTCAAGTATTATTTGTAATTTTTTTGGTATGTTACTAGCAAAACAGGCCCAGAGAACAGTATTGGGAGGCCAGAAGTTGCTTGTGTACCCACCCACTTTCTCTCCATACCAGCCTTCCTTTCCTTAAAAGATCGCAAATGCTGAATGACTGAAATAATGGAATTTTACTGTATTGAATGACAGTCTTCAGTCTGACAAAAGAGACAGTTCTTACAGTGCAAAGGATAGAAAATGTTTTATGAATCCTTCTTTTGGAATCAAAAGCAAAACCAGTTGACCTAATCAAGTTCAACTTACTTGCCAAGAGTTGTATTAACTGAGACTATGACTGACTGACTCCATTAGGAAATTGAAAAATTAGATGAGAGATAAGAAACAGAGTCAGGATTATGCTAGTCCTTGATTCTTTAACATAGATCGTCTACTTGAGCACCTTCCATAAGAACATATTTAGATGAGGCCATGAGTTTTACCAAGGTACCGAGAGCCAAATAATTCCATAATAATATAAAGCCACTCTTTCTTAGACAGTAAAAAAATTTAAGCACATGCCTTATTTTTAACATTGTACTTCCCCTACCTGTGTTTTTCATGTTTCCCAATTTCATATTTGTAATAAATAATGCTGAGATAAATTGTAATATCCATGTAGCATGCTATTCTGCAAAGATTTAATATGTAATAAGATTCTAGCGAAACAGAGAGTGAACAGTATTAATTGTGTCGATTCATTCAACAAAATATCATTGAGTGTTTTAGTGTCCAGAATGCTGTGCACAGTGTTCTACTCTTTTGTTAAACCATCACTCTTATACTTTGAGATGCCATCATAAATTAATTTGTCTGAATTTTTGATTGGCATTTGGAGTAGCTAATCTCCAGTGGAGGTTATTTTTGTAATGAAATGGTTCCAACTTATTGCATCTTTCCAAAGCACTCTATCCATTCCTCAGAAGGCAGCTGGGTGTCACGAACGATCAATGGGCTCTGAAATCAAACCGGTTCTGCCACTTGTTAGCTATGCAAATTTAGACAGATGACTTAACTTCTCCAAAATGTTATTTCTTCTGTTAAAAAGTAGGGAAACTAATATTTACCTTCCAGGGGTGTTGGCAGCGTTCAAAGACACCATATATATGACATACCTAATCCACCCACTCCTCATTTATCTGCATGGTTAAGTTCCAAAGACCAGGTTGTTTTATGAAAAACAGTATTATGCAAAAATGAAAGATGCCCACTTCATATCACAGGATGGAGGATTATTAAATCATTACACCAATGCCAAATTACATCAGTACATAAGAAAACCACTTAGCGTCATGGCCAGCCAAGTTGAAAAATAACCGTAATCATCATAACCAGCATTACTCTCACCTAACACCATGCCATTCATTGTTGCCAGACAGAGATCATTACTGTGCAAAAGAGCCCGAGAGGAGATAGTTTGCTCTATGGACACAGGTGTAAGATATGAGATAAGGAGATAGTAAGTGAGGAGTAGGTGTAGAGTGTATGAAAGTGAGCAGCTGCTTATCAGAGGCACGACTGCTCTGCCTCCAAAATCATCTACCTAAAAGCGGGTTTCTAGTTCTGATGGCCACATGGGGTGAAGAGCCCTACTGAGTCTGCAGCACAAGCCACTGGCCTACTGTCTTTCATTTGATGCAACTCATTTCTTTAAAATCTCTCCTTCCTTAACTCTTAATACACCACTTCAGGGTTTATAAATCCAAAAGTGTATGGAAGCCAGGCAAGGAACATCGATCGATCAAGTCCGTTGAGTTCCAGCAAAATCAAAACAAAGAAAATAAAACCTGGAAGTGTAAAATCAAATTTGCCCTATGTTTACTCAACTACATTTATAAGTATACTCATGTAATAAAAATATGCATGCTATTGGAGATGATACTTTAAATCAACGATATTTTTAATGCCATACGAATGGAATCTCTGTCTAAGGATGAAGCGAACAATAGGAGGAGGTAGTGCTTTGGGCAATCTGGAACACGGCTGCTTCCTCATCTGGAGAGGGCAGCCTTCACTCCTGTGAGCTGCAGTCAGCTGCAGTCAGAGTGCCCCTGTATTCCAACCTTTCAAGAGAAAATAAACTATTTAGATTATAATATTAAGTTGCCCTACAATTAAAGGTTGGACTAAGTTTGACCCCAGCGCCTCCAGTCTGTGGTTCCTGCCCAAGGTTTGCCTAGTTCGCTGTTGACCATCCTGACCGCTTCTTCTTTATCTTTTTCTGTGTTTCACTGTCTTGTTAAAGCTGGGCTTTAAAATAAATGTATCTATTTACTTTTAACGTACCTGCCATTACACATGGTTTCTCTGAGCAATATCATTCACTTTCTATATTTGAATCCTGAACACTAACTGACCTCATCGTAAGACTTTAGATTCATTTATACCACTACCTGCCAAGTGTTTTCCATGCAAATCTTCCTGAAAATTTCAAAAGCTGCTCCACTCAAACTAATCTCAAGATCTACCCTGAGCCTCCTCCCCTACTGGCCTCAGGCCTCTAGAATGTTCCTCCTCTCCACTTCATTGTGTTCTAATCCTGTAACCATTCCCGCCCCCACCACCCGCCGGGTACCAGTCTCTATTCTTTCCTTTTCCATCACCATCATATAAAATTGTATACAAATTCCCACCAATTTTGTCTCATAGCCATTTGTCAAAGTCATCTTTTTCTCAGCACTTTTACCATCTCTGCCCTGGACCTAGCATCATGCCTCATTTGATTAATTGTGTCTGTCTCCTAACCGGTCCCCTCTTTCTAGTCTCAGCTTTCTTCAATCCGCCCTTCCACAGGGTTGCTGCAGTCACTCAGTCTAAAATTATCTGGCTCGGTTTCACCCGGCCCTGGAGCTTTTCAGAGGTTTTCAGGCGTCTGCCTTCACTGAAAGTCTGCAGAACAAGGTAGAAGCCGTGACAAGTCTGGCTTAAAACAAGAACGACCACTTCTAAAACAGATGGGCTCAAAGGACAGAGCCGAGGGAGATACAGTAAATAATCCGGAGCAGGCAGTGACTAGGGTGAGGGGCGTTTGAGGTAGTTTGGAATGTTCCATTTTTAAAAAAGAGCACTAGGTCACAGGCTATGTCCCACTTTGCTATTTGAAGATCCTACCGTGCAGCGCTGGAGTGGGGAGAGCTCATCTTCAAAGACAGCAGATAGGTTAGTTCACACATAACCTCGAATTTTAAAACGGAAGTCATGTAGTCTAATTCACCTTCCTCTACAATTTGACACTTGAATGCTTATTGTTCAATCCCTATCTAGTTTAAAATTGGACAGAGTCTGCTGGCTTTAAAAGAAATGCCTTTTATGAAAGTAGTTTAATTGTTTTGTGTCAGGGCTCTGCTACCCTTCAAGAGATTTCTAGGTATTCTACTTTTGTTGACTTTTCAACACCAGGAATTTTTATATAGATCCAAAGCCCTGCCACCCATCATTTTTTATCACTTAATTATAAGCCCCAGCAGAGACCACAGGGGATTTACTGTACTGTTATAACCTCCACATCATATGCCCATCATGTTTTACAAGTGTCTTATCACATTTTCATTTCTTCAGTTCATACTTACAAGTGGCTTAGAACGCCCTTCAAACCGATTGAATTTAATTAAAAGTTTTTATTCTGCATGATACTTATCCACCATTCTGTTTGGTTCTCCAATCCACTGGTGATGTGTGGCATCATTGGAGTCCTATGATGTCACCGTAGCTTCTTAAAAAGATCAACTGACCATGGTACTCCATGTGTTCACCAGATAGACGGCATTTCTCACTGGTCCTGTTCATCTTCAACTGCCCTCAAATGATGAGAGGAGAAGATGAAAATCCTGAGTTATTCATGCTTGGGTAGAGCGCTTCTTTTTCAGTTATGCTGTCAGAGTTCAAGTCATGAGATCGAGAGTGCTAAGCAGTAGCGTAACACGTTAAATAGACTCATGGCTCAGTAAATAGTATCATGAATGGTAGTCAGTATGTCTCTTTAAATGTTTGTTTCAGGAAAAAAATCAGTTAATTAAAAAAAATAAAATACAGGTTGCCCCACTATCTGAAAGTAGAGCGTGCCTGTTAAGCCCTTCATGAGCTGAAAAGGCATAAAGCACACATGCAATTACTGTTAATTTATAAAGGCCAAATTTTTGAGCATTCTCAGACTCAAAAAATAACCTACTCAGTAACACATCAAACCTAAAAGAACATTAATATGGAGTGCTCACAGACCTAGTTCAAAGTGATGGTCACCTGATGCTGAGTGTAGTTTTTGGGAAAGAAATTTCCTGATACCACACTCACTGCTCAGGGTGCACGCTGCCTTTTTAATGGGTCCCTGCAAAACAAATGCTCCAGTTAGTGAAGACAAATGCTAATATCAGTCTTTTGAAAACATGAAGTGGCATCAGGTAAGCCTTGGAAAAGCAAGGCATACCTGTATTAAGAAAAAGAGATAGGGAGGAAAGGGCATCAGAAAATGAATGTGTTGTGTCCTGTGACATATAAACTATCTTATTGTAAGTTACTGTCAGATGGAGAAAAAGAAACTCAGATTTTACACTATAAACAATGCCTAAGTAGGGTTTAAGTGACACCCTGTTGTTTGTGATGGTTTATTCACAAACATTAAACTATTCCTGTTTTTTAATGAACTTTGAATACAAATAAATTAATAAAATTTAAAGCCCCAATAGACAAAATGCCAAATAATATAACCATAGATGTCATTTAGAAAAGAAGAAATACAGAAACAAATTTTAAAACTAGCAATCCCAATATGTAATTGGAAGGCCTTTTTTTAAAAAAACTAATTTAATCAAATACGCATACCTTCTATCAAATAAGACAAAGTGATAAAAATAATCCACATTGCTGGTGAAAATGTAGAAAACCAAGCATTCCCATACACTGATAATGAAGAGAGGTGAGTCTAAGTGTCACGTGCAGAGTAGGATAGTTAGTCCAGTCTGTTGATTAGTACAGATGGACCAAACAATTACAGTGTTGTCAAGTGAGTCTATAGGAATACTCTAAAATATCAGACAAAAATTATGTCTTAAAATTTTTCTTCACTCATACACACAAATATTCCATCATAGTATTCTCTACTATTCCTAATAAATAAGAATAATTAAATACAACATAATTCCTCTATAAACCACAATATAATGCAACATTAAGTTATATTATATGAATTTAAAGTAATTATGGAAAATAAATTCATGACATAAATTTGCCTCTGTGGAGTTTAATATCAACCATGGAAAAATATTTATAATAATGCTATAGAGAAATACAAATATTATTTCTGTATGGGGGATTAGCCATACTTTGTATTTTAATCATTATTCTTTTCAACATCCTCCATGTACTGAATAATGAGCATGATTTACTTTTATCACTTTAAAGATGTTATGAATATATTTTTGGAAAGTCACTAATGGCATGGCCCAAAATTTAACTCTTTTGTAAAATTAACTTTTTAGGGAAGTGGTTTGGAATGTCCAAGTGTGTTTGCAGTTCTTAAGAAGATGCCAGAACTACTTACTACCCCTTCTAATAAACATTTGGAGACTCTTTAAAAATTGTTTTATTTATTCTAAATTCTGGAATTATAACCAACTCATTAGCTTACATATCTGTTGCAAGTAAACAAAGTAGCTTCATGTCTATCATTTATTTGCTTTTGAAACTTTTGATCAATGTTTGCTTTAGCTGGACAAAAGGTTGTTTTTTGTTGTTTTTGTTTTTGTTGACAAAAGGTTTTTCCAGTGTTTTAGTTTTAATCTGACTTCTCAAATGCCAGCGACTGCTTGACATCACCCTTTTGTGGCAAATGTTTGAAACTGAGAACTTTTTTAGAGTCTAAAAGGAATCAAATGGGTAGAAAAATAAGGTTTGAGATTTCAGGATCTAAATTGGAATAAAGATCATGTGAGTGGAATACAAGTCACAGAAGAGCATCTATTTGAACATTTTTAACTGTTAATCTGCCTGTGAACAATACCTGGTCCCGCTCACACAACGTACACCCTCCAAAGGAGAATTGAGGACACATCAATTGTGTGAAAGACGAGGGTATTTCTCAGATAGATTCTAGTCTATTCGTCGGGACTCCCTCAGCCCCAGCAATTTTGGTTCTGTGGCCTGGATCCAAGAGTACATGCCTCAACTATGCCCACGGGAATCAGAGCTGGGCCCAATGAATAATAATAAAACCTGAACTTCAAAATTTTCATTATCATCAGGTTATGAGGATTTACTCAATTTTCATTTTAAATGTTAGTACCTTCCTTTTTTTTCTCCAGGATTTTTGTTGCATATTTTTTCTGTGTCCCCCCACAAGATGGGTTGCTTTAATAAACACTTTTGTTATTTTGCCAAAGAGGATGAAAAATGTCCCATTGATGCTCCAGGGACAGGAGAAAACAAAACTATGACAGGCTGAGGGAGATGGCATTGTTCTGGGGCAGACTGCTCTGTCCTTGCGGGTCACCCTGGTTCTAACAACGTATGCAATGGGGACCGCTGCATCAGCTGCAAACTAGGGATCCCAGAGCCTTGACCGAATGTCAAGGAGTTAGGTCACCCTACAGCATACAGTTGGCCCTTCCACGTTTTAGAGAGCTAAGCTCTATTTTATTTTCTTTTGTACTTCATTGCATTCTTTCTCATGCTCTTTCCATTCAAAGATTCAGTCCCAAGACAGGATCATGATACTCCACCAGCTGTTGTGTCAGGTAGGAAAATTCTAATTCCTTTAAGATTTGATTGAAGGGGAAAGATGGAGGTTGCCTGGTTTCCTCCAAAAGCCTTTAAAGCAGTGATTCTCAACAGTGACTGTGAAATTCTATTTGGATAGTGGGGTATGGGGAAGAGGTACATCAGATCCCAAAAGTATACTTAATATTGCATTACCAGTTTCCTGTCTGGAAAAGAAATATGCTGTGCTTGAAATAAAAGGGAATTTGTTATCAAGGGTATGCAAAAGAATGACACTGGTCTCTCAGTATCAGTGAATCTGACAGTGAGAAAGGTCATCAGAATTGGGGGAAGTGGGAGAAAGGGATTTATGTTTGTCAAAAGAAGGCATGGATTCATAAAAACAGTTTGAGAAGCACTGCTTTAGAGACTAGAATTCTGAAATCAGAGAATCATCCCATTTTGCTTGTTCAGCATCCAGCACAGTATCTGACACATAGTAGGTGCTCAATATTATTGTTTGTTGAATGAATCAAAACTTCAAATTTGTTCCAAAGAAAATATTTCTGGATATTGAAAGATAAGCTGCTGATGTTACATTTCACAACAAAATGAAAGGGTTTATTTGGGAATACTTTAGTATCTTGAGGGTTTTAATTAGCAATATTTAAGTTCTTTTCTAAAATTTACTGATGTTTTTATTTAAGTATATGTATATGAGGAAATGTGTTTTTATTTTGAAAACCTTAGCTTTCATATTAATTTTGACCTTTGGTTTTATGCAAAGTGGAAAGCGGGCACAATTTCTTTGGGTTTTGTTGCGTTTCATTAACTAAACAGAATACTAGAGTATGATGAACTTTTAACCTCTTGATTCTTTAACTTGTCAGATGGCAAAGACATAAAATTCAAACCAAGAAGGGCAACGGAGAGACAGAGTAAGCAATCAAGGACAGGAATAGATGGAAAGCCCATGTGGCAGTTGAGTCTAACAATTGGACTGTGGTTTTCAAGTGGAGAACATTTTGTTCTTGGCCACACTGTTGGTTTGACCCACAATCCAAAGGATAATCCTTTTCCCATGTCTTATGGATTTGTTTATTCATGCTCACGGTTGGATACTCACCCTAAAAACTTCAAGGGACCAGCAAGGGACAATGAGTTAGCTTTCTGCTGTAAAGTAATGATGCTTTTCAATAGCTCTATAAATCTCCATTAATTAAATTATCACTTACCTTTCCTAAGAATATTATACGTGTTGATGTGCTTGTTTTATTTGGAAGATGAGGCCCCAGGGAAATGAATCTTATATGAAGTTTATAGTATCCACTTTATGTACTGTATTTGGCATCTATTCTTGATAATTCACCAATATTAACTATAATGAAAGGCCCAGACTTAGAATTTTGCTGAAACTAAGTTGGCTGATTTCATTTTCAAGAACACAGTGGAAAATCAAACAAGCCATCAAAAGCTCTTACTGGACATGGGTCATACATCAGATTCTACACAAAGCAATGGAGGCAGAATGCAAACCCAACACAACCCATCGCTGTCTAGTAGATTCCAACTCAACAAACTTGTAGGTTGGAAAAGATCTGCTCTGTTGGGTTCCCAAGCCCAAAAATATTCACAGAAGTCAACTGCCACATCTTTGCCCCATGAAGTGGCAGATAGGTTCAAATAGCCAGCCAATCTTCCTTTAGTTCATGGCCAAGTGCTTTAAACTCTGCAGCACCAGGGCTCCTCTGACGCAGAACATCTGATTGTAAATCTAGGTTTAAGGTTTTCCAAGAATTAGAAGGCCTTGTATATGATAAAATTAGAATAAAGCATTGTGCTGATCTTCCAGCAGTTGAATGCAAAGTAGATGGATCAATACAGAGAAGACTTAAAATATTATAAATTTGGGAATTTGGTGTGGATTTTTCCCTTGATAAGATATGGTCAGTGATTTTACATTTTGTAAATTTACATAAGCTCCTTTGGTCTGAGTTGCCCTGTTGGCATAGTGGGTAGCAGTTGGGCTGCTACCTACAAAGTCGGGAATGTGAATCTGCCAGCCACTTTGCAGATGTGGCTAAAGATGAAACCACAGGGGCAGATGGACTCTGTCCTACAAGGTCACTGTGAAGTAGAAGTGACTCAATGGCAGTGATGATCTTTGGTTTACCTTTAAATTTAAGTAAATTTGCCTTCTTAAAATGTTCACAGATTACCTGATAGAAACATATTGCATGCCTTTTGAAATATCGTGTACTTTTTTGTTAAACCCACAAAAGCAAAAAAAAAAAGAGAAGAATACTATCTTCCTCTATGAAAAAGAACAGAACTCACTACTATTGAATTAATTCTGGCTCATGGTGACCCTACCAGACAGGGTAGAACTACCCCTGTGGGTTTGGGGACTATCACTCTTTACAGGAGTAGAAAGCAGCTGTGAAGCAGCTGGTGGTTTTGAACTGTTTAATGCGTAATGTGCCATTATTAAATGGTTCAAATAATAACTAATTCTTTGCCAATCTAGGAGCCAAGGAAACTGATATAACTTATTGCTGTTCAAGATAATTGCTTGTTAAACTATAAAAGTATAACCCAATTTCATCCAAACAGTATGTAAATGATATATTGAACATTTTCTGTTAGACACTATGTTCAGTACTTGAGATGCAAAGACTAAAACATAGGCCCTTGGTACACACACACTTACACACACACACACACACACTCGCACGCATGCAATTTTTATACATTGCTAATTTAATGTTGCTGCTGCTGTTATTTTTGATGTTTTGGTAGGAAACAGAAATTAGGATCTAGAAAGATTAGAATAAGATAAAATTTGAGCTAGATACTTAAGAATGAATGGAGTTTGCTGGTTGGAAAAGACAGACATGTGTATGGGATGGCAGGGACAGGATGCACAAACTCCTGATGGCGCAGAACAGTGTGGAGTGAGGAGGTGACAGCAAGTCACTGGGAGTCGTCGGGGCAGATCACTAAGGCTGACATCGAAACTGGGTTAAGATGGAATGGGTTTTAGACAAGGACTCTCCTTTGAATTTCATGTCACCATGTTATTTTATATATCGTCTTTATTGGGAAGATATTTGGTGGGAATAATTCTGCTAGGTGCTAAAGATACAACTTCTCTTTTAGAACTTTGAATCTAATTAGGAAGCTTCATGTAGGCAAGTTATTACAGCACCATATTATTTGACTGTAATAAACTATTTAATCAGATACCCGAATTCAAAATCTACTTGTGTCACTCACTAGTTGTGAAACCTTGGCAATATTTTGTTTCCTATACCTTAGTTTTTTTTCATCTGGGATATAATAATTGCTTCAAAAGTTTGTCATAAATAAGGACGACTGGAGTGTTGAATATTTCAGTTATGGTGATGGGAAGAACATTGACTACAATGGAATGCCCTAAGAATGAACAAATCTGCACTGAAAGAAGCATAGCTGGGGTGTTCCTTAGAAATGAGGTTGGTGAGACTGAGGGCGCTATTAGGAGGGACTAGGGTCTAGAAAACAATAAGCGTGGTAAAGGAGAGGGTCGATAAAAACAGAGGAAGACCCCAAAGACATGTGTTGAAACAGTGGCTGCAAGAATGGGCTGAAACATAAGAATGATTGTGAGGATGGTGCAAGACGAAGCAGTGTTTCGCTCTCTTGTACATGGGGTCGCAGAGAGACAGAAGTCATCTAAAGGCATCTGACAACAGCAACAATCAGGCTGTTATAAGTATTCAATGACTTAAGATCTTCTTAGTACGGGTAATTGCATAAAATAAGTACTTGAATGTCATTAGTCACAACTATAAGAATCATCATTATTCCTGGGGGCTACAGTGATGCAGAAACAATAAATACATAAGCAAAACTGTAGGGGATGTCAGAGAAAGAGTTCTAGTACAAAGAAATGTCCACAAAGAGATATATAAACATGTAGAAAGTAACTGATTGCCAATGAGTTGATTCTGGCTCATAGCAATCTTATAGCACAGAGCAGAATTGCCCCATAGGGTTTCCAGACTACCAGTTCTTTCTCCTGAGGAATAACTCCGGGTCTAAATCACTGACCTTTTAAGTAGAACATAAGTTGGACACAGAGAGTTCCATGCCAAGGGAACAGAATACACACACACATATTCATTATGAAATAACAAATTCAGGACACTACAAATCGTTCAGTAGGGTAGGGAGATCATCAATCTGATGAGGATAACAATAGATATCCAGGCAGAGTTGGAGGAGATGTATAACACTATTCAAAATCATAAACAAGACCAGAAGTACTCATCTGATAAAGATTGGTGAAACCACAAGGCTACGGTTGTTAGCCACCCTTTGAAGTTGGAACTGAACCCATTCCTGAAGATCACCTTTCAGCCAAATGATAGATAGGATTATAAAGTAAGCAATAACAATCATGAAAAACATGCTTTTCCAAACAACCCACCATAAAGAACAGAAGGGCTGCTTTTGGCTGAGAACAAAAATGCAGAAGATAGGAAGGAGCCAGAAAGCTAGGAGAATGGAAATAGACATCCAAGGAGGAAGTGTTGTTAGATTGAGGGGATTGCATCTCATGTTATGCGACAACATTTATATAAATTGTTGAATGGGAGACTAAATGTTTTCCATAAATTTATACCCAAACCACCATAAAATGTTGAAAATAGAGGGAGTAGAAAACTGAGTCTAGAGAAATGAACTGGAACAATATATCTTTGTATACCAACTTGAACTCTATCTTAATAGCAGTAGAAATGCATTAAAAAGTTTTAAGATGAAGAGCAACTTGGCCATTCTGGCTTTATGGTATAAATGCATGGAAAGGAAGCAGAACTCAAAAAAGAACCCAAAAACCAAATCAAGAAATCATTATGGAATATATTTAGGTTATATAAATTGGAATGGAGAGACGTTGTCATATTTGTAAATATACTAAGCAGCTCGAACCTGCAGGACTTTATATCTGAATTAATGCCAGGCTAAAACAAGAAAGAAGGCACGAAGGGAGATC